CAAAAATCGGACCGGGTTTGGGTATCTCGGGTCTGGTTTTCCGACCCCAACAAAAAAATCGGATATATCCGATCGGGTCAATCGGGTAGGATCAGGTTTGCTCTCCCCTAGCCAAGATCGAGGAGCTGAGCATGTCCAGCATCCATGCCAGCTCGATCTTGTGCATTCAACAACTCCTGGAGGACTGGATCTCTGACATTAAGACCTTCATTACCACAGGAGAGCTACCTCAGGACGAGGAGAAGGCCATGCTAACCACACTCAGGGCCCCAAGCTATGCCATTGAGGATGGAAAGTTGTACAAGAGATCATACAATGGCACTCTCCTCCGTTGCTTGCACCCGGATGAAGCCGAAGTGGCCATGGAAGAAGTCCACTGCGGAGTTTGCTCATCACACCAAGGCCCTTTCAGCATGTCCCGCCGTCTCGTCATCCAAGGCTATTTCTGGCCGACAATGGCAGAGATTGTGCTAACCTTGCAAGGAAGTGCACTGCATGCCAAGTACTACAGAAGGCCCCCGGTTGGCCAGCCGTCAACTACTCCTCGGTCAGCACCGGAATCCCATTCTTAAGGTGGGGAATTGACCTAGTCGGCCCCCTCCCAAGGGCCGCTGGCAACAATCAGTACATCATCATCGCTATCGACTGCTTCACCAAGTGGGTCGAGGCGGAGCCATTGGCAAGCATCATTGAAGCCCAGTGCGAGAAGTGTGTCCTTAAAAACACCCTCACCCGCTTCGGCGTCCCCCAAGAAATTGTCTCTGACAACAACACCCAGTTCGAGACTGAGCCATTCCAGGAACTCCTCTGAGCATGCAGTAACAAACACCGTTTCTCCTCCATCGCCTACCCTCAAGGCAACGGGCAGGTTGAGAATGCCAACCAAACCATCTTGAAGGGCCCGAAGAAGAAGCTCGAGGACGAAGGAGGCAACTGGGCCAACGAGCTCCACAACATCCTGTGGAGCTACCGTACTACACCGAGGAAGGCCACGGGCGAAACACCTTTCGCCCTATGCTATGGTTTTGAAGCAAAAGCACCAACGGAGGTCACCATACCCAGCCGACGGGTTGAGAAATATGAACCTAAGGCCAATGAGGAGAACATGAAGATTGACCTGCACTTGGCTGATGAAAGACGCGAGCAAGCTTATATCCGGACAGAGAACTACCGTCATCAAATGAAATCATACTACAACGCCAAGGTACGTTCCCGAGAGTTCCAGATGGGGGACTACGTCCTCCACCGAAGGGAAGCAAGCAAGCCGACGGAAGGAGGCAAGCTAGCCCTAAAGTATGAAGGACCCTACATCATCAGTGCCGTGATCAAAGCTGGCACCTACAAACTTAAACACTCTAATGGGTCGGAAGTGCCACGATTGTGGAATATACATCACTTGGTGAAGTTCTATCAATAACCCGAAGGTGGTGTAGCCGGCGAAGCCCTTTCCCCTTGACGAGTTATCGATTACCACCCTCAGCCTCGAGCCACTTAGTAATAAAAGTTGTGTTCCGCTAATAAAGGATGCCACGCAACAAAAAAACATTGTATCAGCCCCTTCAAGGTGAAATGCCCAGGTATGGCCGATGATGCCCAGGACGAAGGGCCCGCAAAATGGCCCACGTCTGGAAACGAGAAGCTCACCGCGTCGTCCTCGCACTAAATCACAGGGCGGCAAGTCTGAAAGAAGACCAAGGTGACAAAATCTCCACACTTGGGGTTGTGAAACGACAGCCGTCAGAATCTGACCAAAAGTCTAGCCCCACGTCGTAAATAGACGAGGGGACCCCCTAAGATCAGGGAACATCCTACAAGTGAGGGTGATAAACCCATCCTAGACTCCCTATCGGCCGAGGGAATAGCAACCCCCTCTGCCGCAAAAAGTAATAACAAAAATTACAACCTCGTACGTTCATAAGTCATTATTCAAGGTTTATTACATGATTTACTAAAAAGTAAATATACTCAGGGACGGTGTTACATGAATGGACAAGGGAAGGTCGGTGAAAGACCTCCTATTCTTCACCTGCTGAAGGCCTCAGGGACGTACTTCCTCCAGCACATGAAGGCCTAAGGGGACGTACGTCCTCCAGCACATTAAAGTCCTCCGGGTACATACGACCTCCAACACATGGCAGTATCCAGCTACGCACGTCCTCCAGCACATGGAAGCCCCCAGGGGACGTGCGCCTTCAGCATATGACGGTCCCCAGGCTACGTACGTCCCCAGAACGGCAGCAAGACCCAAATGGCCCCTGGGTACGTACGGCCTTCGACACTCTCCTCGATAGGATCTCCTCTCCACATGGTCTGAATTGCCGCCTTAAATGCGGTGTCACATTCAACCACCACATTAAATGAGGCCACATGTTATCAACCACCGCATTAACTGCGGCCACATGCTATGCCGGTGCCACCGCGGCTGAATCGACTCGCCACCGTTGGTTATTTGACACGTGTACCCTCATTTATTGCGCCTAGCATTTATGGCAGCTATAAATAGCTAACCACTTACTTCATTGTAAAGGATCCCAGATCGAATTCATTTAATACATATCACTTCTCTCTCTAGCTCTCCATTCTCTCTAGGAGTTAATACTTCATCACCTACCCGTTTTAGACTTGCAGCTACCTTGAATGAAACCTTCAACAGTTGTCCAAAATGACTTGTAAAATGATGAGCCAGAAAATTAAAGAATTATAGATTATGAACTAGATAGACCCTTACTTTTCCAATTGAAAGGAAAATACACTCCTTTAGACAAGCACACATATGGGTAAAGAAAAGAGCAAATGCTTATGTTATAATTTTGTGAGCACGTAGAAGAGAAGAAAAAAATAAGGAGTTAGTGCTCTCGTTTTGATAGGTTTGTTTATGGTTTCAGGAGGATTAATGATGAGCAGCGCACTACTCTTTTCGAAATCAGAAAAACAATACAATCATACAAATGAGACTAGGAGAGTAACGGTTATTCCATGATCGTAATTTTAATGATCCTTGAATAACTCTTGACCAAGCTTGTTATTAAATATCCACTCGGCCATTCATATTAAACAATTTAAAACTTCCGAATTCAGCTTAAAAGCTACTGTTTTATTGTCATTATTAAGATAATAATAACACATTTCAAAATTGTTGCCCACAAATTAAATAGCCTTTTAATTTGAGATATTTTCGAGTACACTTTTAAATCATCTCGAGTGAGCCTGAGCGTATGGAACACTATTTCATGCTACCTTACATGATACTTGAATGATATTCCTTATCACATAATATTTTATTAATAGACCATCTATTTAAGATATAAGATAGTAATTCACTATTTTAATATTTCACTTTACAACTTTTACAACTATGGATTATAATCATCAAATGAAATAAATCCAAGTATGAAAGTTGTACTTTGGTAGTCACTCACTCACTCTCATTACATATGTTTATATTACACATATTTCTCAGGACCCAAAAAGGAGACCACTCAATTTTTCCCCATCATATTTCCAAAAGGGCAAAAGAGTAATCACTCCGCTCACAATTTAATTATCACCCGGTCATCCATGCACGCCCATAGCCCCATACATATCAAAAGTAGGGGACATGTTGTTGGCTATAAGATAGTACTTGATCTCGTCCAATAATTTGGTACGATCTCTTTAAGTCGGTTTAATCTATGCACATGAATGATTCTGTTTTATGTGTATTTTATAACTATACATGATGTGCATGATGTAGTTTGATATGATTTAGGATTAAAATTAGTCAAATTATAAATATCTACTATCTTTTGTCACTACAAATCGTCATTTTTGTAACGTGCCCAACTGTTTTCCATCACATTTCGTCGATGAAGTTAGTTAATACTTCAATAACTCTTTAGCACCCACTCCTCGAGGCTCGACCAAATGCTTTTAGAAAGTAAACACACTCTCACATTACTACCGGTAGAATTTGATCATTGATTGTCCTTTCAAACTTTCACTGTGAAACCAATTAAACTATTCATATAGGTCTTGTAAATATATTAGAACTCAATGAAATCTATCTATATTTGTGCGGAGTCAACCAGGGGCGGAGCTAGGGCACTGGACCGGACTGGACCGGTATAAAGAATATTTGTAAAAAAAATTACATGGAATTTTTTAAACTAAAAATATAGACATTTTTAAAATTTGGGCTGGGCCAGGGCAGGGCTGGCCCTCCCCTAGCTGCGCCCCTGGAGTCAACTCAAACAAGCATTAAAGTTTTTGATACTAAAAACTTCTAAAAATAAAAAAGCTCAAAAATAAAATATCTAAAAATATTTAAAAAAATCTACACCTCTGGCGCTGCATCTTTCACCTCCGGCCCCCCAGCACTGCCACCTCCGATCGCCGGAAAGATGTCATTTTGTGTAAAAAATATCACCTTTCTCTGAAAATGTCATGAAAATCGCTTTTTTACTCTTTGAAAATAACAAATTTTATTTTCAAACTATTGTCGTGATGACATTTTTTTAAAATGACAGTTTTTCCGACAACTGGAGGTGGTTGTGCGGGAAGTTGGTTGAGACAGGGACTTGAGCCGTGTATATTTTTTATTTTTTTATTCTAATTTTTTTATGTTTTGTTACTACGTACTGTATCATTTAAAAAATTATACTAAAGTAAGCTTTGCCCCAAAAAAATCTACTAAAATATGACATGGGAAGGGTAGGATAGGAAGACTTGCTTGTATTTCAATATTTTGGGAGTTTAAACTTTGTGTTCCTATTGTTGCAAAGTTGCTTTACTTTAGCTATTTTGAGAATTGCCACTTTATTTATATATGTTTTATTCTAGGTTCATCTAATTATTGGTACACTAGCTTGGTGATATAAACTTCCAAAACTTACTAATTATTTACTCTCTTCGGTCCTAAATAAAATTCACACTTTCCTTTTAGGGATGATCCAAAATAGAGTTCACACTTCTTCTCCCTTTCTTATTTGGCAAATTATCTACATCAGAACAGTGCAAAACAGTGTCAAACAATGTCAACTTTATTTAGGATCAGAGGAGGGAGTATGTTTTAGAGAATTAGTTTTTAGATAACAAACTTTCTTTATAATAAAAATTAACATATTCACCTAAATTAAACATGATGTATACAGACTTTTACATAATCACATGCACCTCACCTAAGTTAATATATCTCCAAGCCTGATTATTAGACGAAATGAATAAAAACACTTTGGCATATCAATGGGCCATTGCCTGCTCCCCTATAATCAAAGGAGGATTACCCATAGACAGAGGAAGCACAGGGATGCTCTGCTCATGTTGGAAGAAGTTGTCGGGGTCAAATTTGGTCTTCGCAAGAACCAGCCTCAGAATGTTGTCCTTGTAATACTTGTAACCCCAAGACATAGCCTGATCAAAGGTGGCATTCCCGCTCTTGTTCGTCCCCAGATCAAGATCCCTGTAATTCACATATGCCTCTCTTGGGGATTCGGATGCATAGTCTGCCATGTAATCGTACAGACCTCCCATCCAATCCATGTGCTTCTTTTCAGATTCCTGCGAAGGGTCGTTCCACAGAGTCAGATACTGCATCATGCAGATGACACCTTTCCTGTGCGGGAATGGGGTTTGCCGTTCTGGGATTTTCCCCATCATTCCGCCGAACGGATTCCATATCACCAACGGCGACTCTTCTTGCCGGAGCTTCTTCCACAGGCCTTCTAGCCCTGTTTCCGGGATGCGTTCTGTGATGAAATCTGACTTCGCTTTGAAGTAGTTCTTGAAGAGTGATTTCCCCTGGAGCAGAACCTCCGGCGGGGTGTTTGCTGGATACCCGGCGATGTAGAGGACCGATTCGATCCAGCTCATCTCGATGCAGTCTTGTTTGGTTAGTCCCAGCTCCGGGAAACTCTCTCCCATGATCTGCAAAAGCCGGTCCGAGGACCCCAGGAACACGGAGTTATAGGCCGTTTGGACCGTCGTCTGGCCTTTTCCGGTGGCGTTGACCACCGACGTGATAACCCTGATGAAGAGATCATCGTGGAGTTTGTCGGCGACGTTTAGCCATTTGCTCATGATTTTGGTGCCGCCGTCTTCGAGTGTTTTCGCGACGGTGAAAACGGTGACGGTGGAGGGGACGGGGACCAGATTTAGCTTCCAGGACAGTATGATCCCGAAGCTGGAGGCGCTGCCACCCCTGATTGCCCAGAACACCTCTTCTCCCATGGCGTGCCGGTCGCGAATCCTCCCGTTGGCATCGACAATCCGGGCGTCTTCGACATTGTCAACTGCGAGGCCGTGCCTTCTCATGATGGTGCCGTAGCCTCCTCCGCTGATGTGCCCGCCCACTCCGAGGCTGGGACACAGCCCGGCAGGGAATCCTAGAGTATTGCTTTTCTGTGAAATCCTATGGTAATAGTTCAATACATAAAATAATGAATAGTTGAATATATAAATTCTATGATAGATAATGAAGAAATTGTCTTAAATAGAAGTAAAAATGTTTTGAAATTCAAAAATAGGACTATCATGGTTTTTATTCCTTGAATAGGAGAAAATTTCTGCTAAATTTGGCATTACTAGGCTTTAAACATGACATTTTCTTCCAAATTTGGCAGATTACTCATATTCAAGGAATAAAAAACATGATAGTTCTATTTTTGAATTTCAAAACATTTTTACTCCTATTTAAGGAATTCCCCTTTATATTTCAAAATTTAGATAATGCCATTTGCACACGTTTTTGTTGGTATCACAAGCAATTCGTTATCAAAGGTATGCAAAAACATGTCCACCAATATTTATGATTTAAAAATGGACTTGTTGATCATTTAAATGGTGACCAACAAGATTATAAATGAAGAGAGCATATATAAAAGTATTTAGTCCTTGCCTGTAATAGACTTCCCCTAGTGTGGCACCAGCCTCAGCCCAAGCGGTGTTGGCCGCTACGTTTACCTTGACTGCTCGCAGCTTGGAGAGGTCAAGGATAACAAATGGTGACTCCATTCCAGAAGCAAACGAGAGGCCTTCGTAGTCGTGGCCCCCGCTACGGGCTCTAAGCTGAATACCGAGCTGTTTCGCGCATATAACGGCAGCCTGGACGTGTGATTCGGTCGTTGGCATGAAAATTAGCTTAGGTTTCGGGACAGATGGTACCAAGTACCTAAGATTTTGTGCCGTGGATTCAAGAATGGTGCTGAATGAGGCATTGTTAGGGGTGAAGAAAGCCGAGGAGAATGGGGCTGAGAAATTGGAATTCAAACGGATGCACTTATAAAAGCTTTCTGGGATGGTAGAGTCCAAGAAAGCAAAGGAAGTTGATGGGAGGATTATGAAAAGAGTGACAAGCCAAGACTTTAATGGTGCCATTTCTCTGGTGAAGTTTGTGTTTAAGGATTTGGATCAGAAGGGGTTGTTTATATACATCGACTTTGAGTGTGGATTTTGTGGTGACCTCTGTATGTAATGTTTGATTGTGCTAACATTGATGTTGTGTACAAGGGAATGATTTTCTTTTTGTTTTTGTCAAACTATATATAGTTGATGATGTTTTCAAATTTGGAAAATTTTAAGTTTGTAAGCTGAGATTCAAAATTGCCTTTTTGTTAAAGGAGATGTGATAAATATTGTAGGTATCAAGCCCTAACCAAATAGACACAGCATAGGCCCTTGAATTTATTTATTAATTAAAGGGAAAAGGTGCAAATAGGTCCATGTACTAACAAAAAAAATCAAATAAGCCCTTATTTAGGAGGCTCTGATCGGCCGTCGTCATTTGGTGTGGTTCCCGGTGGAATGTTTTGATGAAATTTTTTGAGCATCTTATTTATCAAGTCTAGTTTACTCATATCAAATTTCAGCTAAAACTTCAATCGAGAAGACATTCAAATGAATTCTTAAAGATAACTGCGATTCTAACTGCGCAGTTATTTTCAAGAATTCATTTGAATGTCTTCCCGATTGAATATTTAGCTGAAATTTGGTATGCCTAAACTAGACTTGATGATTAAGATGCTCAAAAAATTTCATCAAAAACTTACACTAGGAATCATACCAAATGGCGATGACCGGACAGAGCCTCCTAAATAAGAGCTTATTTGACCTTTTTTTGTTAGTACATGGACCTATTTGCACCTTTTCACTTAATTAAAAGTTGAAGAGTAGGAAGCATTAAAACCAAATCTTAGCTTTGTGAAAACGTTCCAAACGTAAAGGAATTCAAAGTCGCGCGGGTGCTGGGCTGTCATTCTCTACCGTGGCAAATCCAACACAAATGGTGTTGTAATTATTTACCTTATAAACAATGTTCTTCATATTAATAGTATGACTGATTAGTTTTATTTCTTCTTTCTCTCGCAAAACACTATCTCTCTAGAATCTAGGCACCATACATACATACATACATACATAGTACATACTAAAATTATAAGGGGTTTGCACAAGATATAATGAATTTAATATTACTGTATTCAAACTTAATGGTTTTTGAAAAAGTGATTACTTGTATATGTGAATAAAAATGTGATTAACAAGTTATAGATTTTAAACAATAAGATGTCACTGTACTTGACTACCAATGTCACTGGCAGGGACGGATCCAGGATTTCGAGTCAAGGGGAGCGAAAATTTTCGTTAGTGTAGGAGATAAAAAATTCATTAGTGTAGCGGGGTGAATTTTTTTTTCTAGTGTAGCGGGGCGAATTTTTTCACTAGTGTAAGGCTCTGCGGCTATTTTTATTCAAAAAAAATTCATTAATACATAGGTGACGACATTTAAATCTATATATTACATTCTAAGTTTAGACAATGACAAAATAACTTTAATTTTATAATTGGAGTGCTCTAGAAAAAAGTATTGGTACATTAAAGAATAAGAAATGACAAATCAATGGAAAATAATACAAAAATAAAAAAGGATATATAACATTTTATTTAAATATAAAGAGTTTATAAGGTTCACATTCACGAGTACTTTTAAAATAATTTCAACATTGTTTAACTACATGAGTCTTATAGAAACAAAGAATTGATTTTTGAATTACAATTTTTGTCTATCATTGAGGGTGTTCATAAGTCACAAGCAGTTCTTTTAATATTACAATAGTATGTATGATATTATTATTTTTAGAATAATATTATATTGATAATTCATATATATAGTGCATATTATATTTGTATTAATGCTAAAATAATTAAAGTTTATTATCTATGCAATAAAGTCTTTTTAGAATGTAAGAAGTAAATGAATAGTGTAATTCAATGTCAATAAACATTTATAATTTGGATTACTTCACATGATCTAAAAACTTTGTAGCTAGAGTGTCTGGTATTTAATATTGTTTGAAATATATTTTTCAAAATTGTTTACTAGTTATCGAATAAAGATAATTAAACATTGCGAAACTAAGAATTTTTATATAATAAGTATCCTAAATCTCAAATAATGAGTTGTTCTATTGTTTATTTAAGTTATATAAATTATTTTAGACGTTCCTTTTTTAAATCTCCGATTAAGTATTACATTATGTAAGACTATATATCAATTTTAAAAACTAAAAGTTAAGGGGGACAATGTTCAACAAAAAAATTAAGGGGGGCGAATCTAATTAAAGTATCAAAATTTTACAAAAACATTACATATATAATAGAAAATTTTGAAAGTCCAAGGGGGGCGGTCCCCCGCGCCCCCTTAAATCCATCCCTGGTCACTGGCGCCGCTGACAGTGTAAGTGTATCACTTCTTACATGAAGCATGTCACTCTGACTGTTGAAAAAATATGATGAATTTTTATGATGACAATTTGAAAAAACTGGAAAAGTTCCGGTTAATCTTTCCAGTGACTTTTTTTAGGCTGGCAGTTTTTGACGACATCCTGTTGACAACTGTTTTTGGAGGGGGCGGGGGGGAAGGAAGGCATCGGTAGTTGGGTAGGAATTAGAATTAAAAGAAAAGTATATTCATTATACAAAGGTTTACTCACATTTTTTGAAAAATAAAAACTAGTCATATCTTTGTCTTCTAAAAGTATATTAATATTTTTGTCATTCCCCTACTTTAATGAATGTGGTTGAATTACCAAAATATAAATAAAATCAGCTGCTACTTTGTATTTTTATATATCCATCTAAAAATATTTATTGAGTTATTTACTGTGAGGCCGTGACAATCATGATGGCGGAATGTGTATATGTTGCCTGTTCAACACCTGTGTGATCATATTCCAACATACTACACAGAAGAAATACATAAACAATGCCTTGATTGTTGGTATGTTTCACTTTGGTACATTAACTTTGAAATGAATGAAATTAATATTACAATTATACATAAATGTTTCAATTGATAATATTATTCAAAATTTTGGCCCAAAATCATACGTGATGGTCGAAATTCTATATGTAAACTCCACTTCGACTTATTTTTGTTCATGTCATCACCGCAGAGTGGACTATACGGTCTATACACATGAAATTTCGATCACCATGTAGTATTTTTTGGCCACAAATTTGAATAATGATGTCAATCGAAACATTTATGTATAGTTAATTAGTTATGTTATTGATTTAATTAATTTAAGAGTTAAAGTACCAAAATGCTAACAATATAAAAAATTATGATACTCTCTCCGTCCTAAAATAACTTCTAATTATGATTTACGATGTTTGACCAACGATAAAGTTAATTGATCTCTGTCAACATTCAGATTATTTTTAGTAAATAAAACGTCTATATTCGGAGACTAAATTAAAAAATTTACAAAGTCACAACAAAATAATTCAAATTTGACAAAATCTTGATATACAAAGTAAAAAAATAAGAATGATTTCATTTGACCGTGAAATGGAAGTTATTTTAGGGTCGGGGGCATTCATGCATTTCACCCTACCATGGGTCATAACTTCGCCATGTGATCATTTTTTTGGTATCATGTCTGTCCGAAACCAGGATGAAAGAGAAGGGTGTTATGCTAGGCGTGTGACGGCCAACAATATCACTTAGACACATCATATCACATGAATCGAAATATGAAGACGATTGATGTCTTTTCTACTTTTCCTCTCTTTTTTCTTTTATCGTTTATCTTATTTATCATTTTATATTCTTATGTTATTTTTATCTTCTAGCTTTTTATGCTCTTTTTTACCTTTTATATTTCTTATATTCTTGTGTTATTGTTATTTTATATTTATTTATCTTTATTTTATTCGTTTTCTTCTCTTTCTTGTCCGTGTTCTCTGTTTGACACCGATATCATAGATCGATTCATGTTAGGAGATCCCAAATTCTTTTGGGATTAAGACTTGGATGTTGTTGTATGTACCCTATCATGGGATTATGACTTAAATGAGTCTGTGTGTGAAAAGTGAAAACCTTTGTAGGAATGTTTCTTCACTTCAAGGGTTTTGATTTATCTAATGCCCATGCCATGCCATGCCCCTTAGTTATCCTATGACTTTACTAGCAGATTGTGGATTAAAGATTGGAGTTTGTTTCTTGGCCGACTCAACTGCTAATTTAGAAGAGTAGAAGAACATTAGCTGTTACTTTAAGACAAGTTTAAACTTGCTTCCAATCTCTCCATCATTCTCATATCATAGATTGTACATTACGGTCTGCTCTGTTTTAAGGTCAATTCTTTCACTGTCAAATTGCCCACAATTACATTAACTTCTGCCTTCACGCATTAAAAAACTACTACGTCATTTACAAATGAAATTAGGGCATTCTAAAACTCAATACTTAATACCAAAATACTAATCAAAATAAATTAATCGCAGTGACAATAAACTGAAAACCCAAATTAAAGAACAAAAATAACCGAACCCGTAAGTGTTTGGAGATGAAAATATACTCCCTCCGTCCCGTTGGAATGTTCCCGCTTTCCTTTTTTGGATGTCCCGTTGGAAAGTTCTCATTTCCCTAAATGTAAAGTTATCCTACATCAAAACAGGGTCAAACAGTGCAAAACAGTGTCAAACAGTGTCGAAACAGTGTCAAACAATGTCGAAACAGTGTTAAAACAGTGTCGGAACATTCCAACGGGACGGAGGGAGTATATGAATAATCATCTCAATTATACTTCATTTTAAGTACTACTACGTATATGTTAGTGAACTTTTTCACACCTAACACAAAATTTATAAGGAATATACTTCGTATATACTTTTCTCTAGGATTTTTTAGATTATACCACCAAGCTACTGCATGCTAGGCCAATCTGGTGGGTAAATATTGTTAGTATATATGTCCTAGCGACGATCACTTTTTAGAGATATATGTACTTGATCACATTCAGTTTTATATATTTGATATATACGGTATTACACATTGACGATTAAGTATTTCAATTGTCAATATTTTATTCATAATTGTGTTCCCTTGGACTTATGTTGTCAATAAGTATGTGGGACCTTATATGATATAACATAAGGTCCTAAAATAGCCCCAATCAATGATCATCAAGAATGGGATATTGATGATATGCGATAAGATTGGTATGTGGACTGCATCATACTTTTAGAAAGTATAGTTGATCTCACGACTATGAGTTCCTGTAATTCATGATGGTCACATAGATATTTTAGAGAATATTGGCATACCCACCGAGAAACCATTTGATGAGTTCTATTCATGTGTCTATGGGATTATCGGCGTATAGAGTAGTATAATAGTCCTCCGACTTGAGGTCAATACGTACTACATGTGCGGAGTGATGTACTTTGACCATGACCAACGCTTGCACTCCAATCGAGGTAGATACGACATGTGTTGGGTGCATCACGAAGCACATGGAGTAGTAGTTGAGCCAAGAAAGAATTCATTCCTCATAATAGATTAAGAGATAACATTCTACTTCTCATATCTAGATGGATCATAAAGTCATTGGCTAATGCAAAGATATATTCGTTTTGGATATCGAATATGATCATTATGGATCATCTAGAAAGATTGAGAGATAGAGACTAAGTTATTGGAATAGACACAATATCAAGTTCTAGACTTAGTTGAATGTTCGCTGAATGAAAGGACCGTATCACTATGAGCTCTATATTACAGGGAGTTTGTATAGTCCTCGCAAACGTCCTTATATATTAAGTTAGTCTGGAGAATCGTCTAGGGATTCACTAAGACCTTAATTTGATTAGTGTTTAATATATAAGGCCCTATGGGTCACACAACAAGTGATTATACCTTCCGATTGAATTGTTAGAAGGAATTAAATATTATTAATTGGATTAAATAATATTTAATTCGTAATACTGAAAATGAATTAAAAATTAATTAGATTAAACATATTTAATTCATAAAGTTGAAGGAGAGTTCTATTTGATAGAATTAATTAAGTCTGATAAATTAGATTTATTATACTTAATTAAGATGTATTTGTAATTAAATAAAGGTAACGTTTTCTTTTGTAATTTAGAATTATAAATGAAATAAAATATTATATATTAATAAAGAGAAGAGGTGAGTGGCGTGAGCCCTCCCTCCCTCTTATTACTATTGTATATTGTTTTTATTTAATTATTGATAAGTATTGGTTCTGGTAGGACTAGAGCTCATTAATGAGAAAGACTTTCATTGTGATTGGGAAACTAGTTTAGAACTACTATAAATACACTCTCCTCCTTCATAATTAGAGATCAGTTTTAAGATTCAGTATTACCAGTTTATTTCCCTGCGAAGAGATTTCCTAGTCTTTCTCTTAGGGAAATCTAACCGTTCTTTCGGAAAGGAGAAATCACGTGGATACCAAAGGTCAAGGATTATCACCGCTAGGCTGGAAGATCTGTAAGTTCTAACTCAGATCTGTTATTATTATCATATTCGTTATTTTGTCATAATCAGGGAAGATCTGTTTGGGAAATTTTTAAACTTCCGCTGCCGTACTTTCGAGGTACGTTACATCAATTTCCTAACAGTGGTATCAGAGCCAAACTGATTTTAATGATATTATACGAATTTTGATTGTTTTTCGAGGTCAAAATATACGATCTTTCGATCTTAGAGTTTTAATCAAAGTTTGTTTGTTTTTCGAAGTAGTAGTATTTTGATATGTGAAATCATTGTGATTTGAGATACATGTTTAGACCGAAATAGAGGACTTACTGCCGGCTGTTTTTAATATGAAGTTGTTTTACTATTCCTTATTAAAGTAATTCTATTATTTAGATTTTAGTTTGACAAATTGAAATCTGAAATTAGAAGATGAGATGTGATTGCTGGTAGTAATCGCAGAAGACTATCGTATGCCTTCCCTTCCCTCTGTTTTTCTCGACTCATCCTAAATCGATCTGGAAGTTTTCCGACGAACGTACGGGAAGGCCGACTACTAACGAAGCGGTTGCGCCCGACGAACTACACTACGACCGGCAAGTTCGACGGCGGATGTTTTTGAAAGATTTGGATTTTTTCTGATTGGTTAAATCATGAAGATGAAGAGAACGTCATGATTTGGAAGACTTGAGCCGAGCGCTGCACTTAAGGTCTTCAAACAGAGAAGAAGATTAGCTGCTACGAAGATGGAGAATGAATCGCAGCTCATGCTTTCCTTTAAAAATGGTTTTTGGACTGATTTTAGAAATTAGACTAACTGTGAGGGCTTTCATGCAATTTTTGAAATTCTAATTTGAAGTGAAGACGTATGCTAGGAAGTTGGTCTTTTCTTATGTACGCAAGTCGGGAATTTAGACGATTATAATTATCAGCTTTAATTATAATAGTAACTAAATTAAAATTAACCTTTTTATTAATTAGATTAATTATCTATAGGATTTGGAAGGATTATTCTAAGTATCTTTAAAATTAGTGTATTTAACATGCTTTTACTTTAATTTTTGACTATTACAAGTTTGAATTAGATTCAGATCGCATGTTTTAATTTATCTGTCTGAGTTAGATCTCATCAACATATTATTTGATAATATGTTTTAAGCATCTTGATTAAATAAGTAATTTAATACCCCGATAAATGTTCCCCATAAATTAAAATTTAAGTCTTATCTAGGATAACGATATCACCCATCATAATTAAATTAGTAGAAATATTTTTTCGTTGAAGAATATTTCACCCAAGTGTTTATTCCATTCGACAAAATATAGAACTAATTTATAGATACATATGTTTGTGATCGTGTGATGGTTTTGACTTACTTAAATTAGCTCGAGTCGCCCAAGCGTCAGTGTTAATTTAGGGATGTCGATCAATTAAAAATTGATCAATCAAGAGTTGCTTGGACGCAATTGGTCTAGGGACCTACCCATTATATTATTGTAGTAATCAGCCCAAGCTGGGACTATAATAATATGAATGTGGATCTTGGCCACTATGATTGTAAAAACAATCTATGTTCTTTTTATTGGGGTCAAAGAGCATGTAAAAATAGTGGGAGCTAAATAATTAAAAGTCCATATTATTTAGTTAACTAAATGTGATCATAGGAATTATTATACGAATTTTAATTCCGTTCTATTTCAACTTCTTTAGGCTTTTAGGAATGTCGAATTTATCATTGAGAAATATCTTGGATACATGCAAGCTTACTGGACCAAACTTTCTGGACTGGGAAAGAAATGTACGTTTAGTTCTTAGACAAGAAAATATTGAGTATGTGTTCGACACACCGGTACCCAAGATTCCTGATGCCAACTCTCCTGAGTTTGCCACGTTTGACCTGACTGCTCGAGAGAAACACGTCACTGATGCTAAAACTGTACAATGTGTTATGTTGGCTGCAATGTCTATGGAGTTGCAAAGGCAACACGATAGGATGAGCGCCTTCGAGATGCTTGAACACTTGAAAAGTCTGTTTGATTCGGAAAGTCAGACTCTAGAGTATGAACTTCTGACAGACATTTTCAAGTGTAGGCTTCAAGAGGGTGGCAACGTGTCTGAGCACGTCCTCAAAATGATTGGCTTAATTGAAAGAGTTGCTAACACCGGAATTAAGTTTGAGGATCGTGTCTCAGCTGCTATCATCCTATATTCGCTTCCAAGTTCATTTACTAACTTCATTGTGAATTATAATTTGAACAAAACGAAAGCGACCATGCCTGAACTCCATAACATGCTCAAGTCTTATGAAGCCTCAACCTCTAAAGGAAAGACTGTTCTTATGGTAAGCTCTAATGGTAAGTCTCGTTCTAAGAACAAGAATAAGCAAAAGAAGAAAGGTAAGGTTGGACCTACTCCTACAGCTCTGAAGCCTAAAGGTGGAGGTCATATGAAGCCAAAGGTTGCAAAGGATGTTTGCCTCTACTGCAAAGAGAAGGGGCATTGGAAGAGAGATTGTGAGTTGTATAAGGCTAATCTAGCCAAAGCACCGGGTGCTTCAAGCTCAGGTATTTTTATCCTTAAATAAATATGTATATAACTAACTCTCATTGTTAAAGTATTAGATACAACTTATGGCTTACACATTTGTAAAAATGTGCAGAAGCATGAGAAGCAGTGTAGCAGTTGGACTGGGTAAAATTGACCTACACGTGAAGATTGGAGCAAAAGTTGCTGCTGAACGCGATAGGATCTTATAGTTTAGATTTGCCCAGTGGTTTTAGATTAGAATTAAATAATTTTTATTTTATTCCTTCTATTACCAAAAGGATTATTTCCATTCATATGTTAGACATTAAAAGATTTCTATTTCCATTTTGCTAATAATAATTGTTATTTTCATAAAATGGTGTTGTTGTGGAAATGCTTTTCTTATGAATGGTTAATTATCAATCGACATATTAGATATTAAATGAATAAAATAAAAGGATCTCGATTAAGTAATCAGAAAAATTACTACCTATCTATGACATTGCAAACTTGGTCAAATTAATGAAACAAGAATAGCAACGTTAAATGAATTAGATTATTTAACACCATTTGCTTTTGAGTCATATGGAAATTGTGAATCTTGTCTTTCAAGCAACTTGACTAATAAACCTTTTCTAGGAAAAAGGATAGCAAGCCAAAGAGTACTTAAGTGAAATTTCTGATTTATTTAAAAGGTCAAAGAATTCCATCATAATGAACTCCTCCAGAACACCTTAGAAGTCTGGCGTTTCTGCAAGGAGAAATAGGGCTTTGTTAGACATGGCTAGATCTATGATGAATTCATTTTCTCTTCCAAAACATTCTTTTGAGGGTACACGCTATACATCTCAATATGCATTCTGAATAGTTTGATTAGTGCAAAACGTACTATATGAGTTATAGTATAATAAAAGACATTTTCTTCACATATTAAATATGGGTTGCCCTACATATGTAAAGAAATGTGCACTAATCAAATTAAAAGCTAAAGTAACATAGAGAATGAAAATTTGCTAGATTGTCTAACGAAGGATTCAGTGGGAGAATTAAGGTGAAGAATGTCTCTAGGAGGATATCCTTCAGCTAGTGGGAGTAATATAGGAAGCGCTTCGCACCAGCAAGTGATTCTTATGAAGAAAGTAATGGCATGGTTGTCATTCCTTCTGCACCTAACTCTCTCTCTCTGAGTATAGCACCAGAAAACTCTCTAAGCATTGGATAGTCCAATGAAAGAGAACCTCTTCACGATCAGAATGAACAGTCTGAACAAAACGCAAAACATTCAACTCTGCAGGTCTACTAGGATTTGTCATGAACTAACTAGTTTAGGCTTCCTCATGGAGGATCATGATGATGTTAAGATTCCTGATACGGATGAACCTGAGACCTACATAGAAGCAATATTAGATGTTGGTTCATAGAGGTGGCGAGAAGTCATAAAATCTAAAATGGACTCGATTTGTATCAATCAAGTATGGAACTTGGTTGACTTGCCTGTTGGGTTAGACCCATTGGATGCAAAATGATTTTCAAGGAGAAAATTAATGTTGAAGGCAAGGTGAAAACATACAAAGCTGGGCTAGTGACTAAAGGTTATAGTCAAAGAAAAGGAATTGACTATAGTGATACCTATTCGCCAGTTGCAAAACTCAAGTCCATTTAGATTTTGCTTGTTATAGCTGCTCAATATGATTATGAGATTTGACAAATGGATGTCAAAACCCCTTTCCTTAATGGAAACCTCATGGAGGAGGTGTACATGGTACAGCCTGAAAGTTTTATATCCATATCAAATTCTAATTCAATATGCTAAAACAAGCCACTAGGAGTTGAAATATTAATTTTGATGAAATAGTCAAATCAATTGACCTCATCAAATGAAATGAGGATGCTTGCGTGTTTAGAGTGCGCAACAAGAATAGCGTGGTCTTTGTAATGATATATGTTGATCATAGAGAATGATATCCCCTCATTGAAGTCCGTGAAAGGATGGTCACCCAAAATCTTCATGAACATCTTTTTGTCTATGGTAGACAGAAAGGACTAGTAGAATTTAATTATTCTAGCATTAGTTTCATGTATGATAAGAAAAACTACGAGTCACAGTCAATATATGTTTTTAGTCTCAATGTAATAGTAGTGCTGAAAGAGTTACAAGTTAGAAACTACTATAAATTCGACAACTAGAGCCTAGTAAATTGTTGCATTTGATACAACACAGGTAAACGTTTAGATATGTTAGTTCCTTAAAGACACAGGGGTAGTTCCTAGCGACAGTTATCCAATAATTGTTATTGTGATTGTACCTGGTGCATTTGCACAAGCTAAGGAACCAAGATGCGAAGTAAGGAACTAGAAAATACCAGTATGCTATCATGTTTTGATAACAAATAGCAAGATGAGAAGTTTCAATAGAATGCCTTCCAGTAGAGGACAATTTGGCTCACCCATTCACCAAACCTTTGAGATGCGAGAAACATACTAGACTTTTAAGAGACTAGGTGTTAGACGCATCGGTGATTGGAACTAGGCCAAGTGGGAGATTGTTAGTATATATGTCCTAGCGACAATCACTTTTTAGAGATATATGTACTTGATCACATTCAGTTTTATATATTTGATATATACGGTATTACACATTGACGATTAAGTATTTCAATTGTCAATATCTTATTCATAATTGTGTTCCCTTGGACTTATGTTGTCAATAAGTAAGTGGGAGCTTATATGATATAACATAAGGTCCTAAAATAGCCCCAATCAATGATCATCAAGAATGGGATATTGATGATATGCGATAAGATTGGTATGTGGACTGCATCATACTTTTAGAAAGTATAGTTGATCTCACGACTATGAGTTCCTGTAATTCATGATGGTCACATAGATATTTTAGAGAATATTGGCATACCCACCGAGAAACCATTTGATGAGTTCTATTCATGTGTCTATGGGATGATCAGCGTATAGAGTAGTATAATAGTCCTCCGACTTGAGGTCAATACGTACTACATGTGCGGAGTGATGTACTTTGACCATGACCAACGCTTGCACTCCAATCGGGGTAGATACGGCATGTGTTGGGTGCATCACGAAGCACATGGAGTAGTAGTTGAGCCAAGAAAGAATTCATTCCTCATAATAGATTAAGAGATAACATTCTACTTCTCATATTTAGATGGATCATAAAGTCATTGGCCAATGCAAAGATATATTCGTTTTGGATATCGAATATGATCATTATGGATCATCTAGAAAGATTGAGAGATAGAGACTAAGTTATTGGAATAGACACAATATCAAGTTCTAGACTTAGTTGAATGTTCGCTGAATGAAAGGACCGTATCACTATGAGCTCTATATTACAGGGAGTTTGTATAGTCCTCGCAAACGTCCTTATATATTAAGTTAGTCTGGAGAATCGTCTAGGGATTCGCTAAGACCTTAATTTGATTAGTGTTTAATATATAAGGCCCTATGGGTCACACAACAAGTGATTATACCTTCCGATTGAATTGTTAGAAGGAATTAAATATTATTAATTGGATTAAATAATATTTAATTCGTAATACTGAAAATGAATTAAAAATTAATTAGATTAAACATATTTAGTTCATAAAGTTGAAGGAGAGTTCTATTTGATAGAATTAATTAAGTCTGATAAATTAGATTTATTATACTTAATTAAGATGTATTTGTAATTAAATAAAGGTAACGTTTTCTTTTGTAATTTAGAATTATAAATGAAATAAAATATTATATATTAATAAAGAGAAGAGGTGAGTGGCGTGAGCCCTCCCTCCCTCTTATTACTATTGTATATTGTTTTTATTTAATTATTGATAAGTATTGGTTCTGGTAGGACTAGAACTCATTAATGAGAAAGACTTTCATTGTGATTGGGAAACTAGTTTAGAACTACTATAAATACACTCTCCTCCTTCATAATTAGAGATCAGTTTTAAGATTCAGTATTACCAGTTTATTTCCCTGCGAAGAGATTTCCTAGTCTTTCTCTTAGGGAAATCTAACCGTTCTTTCGGAAAGGAGAAATCACGTGGATACCAAAGGTCAAGGATTATCACCGCTAGGCTGGAAGATCTGTAAGTTCTAACTCAGATCTGTTATTATTATCATATTCGTTATTTTGTCATAATCAGGGAAGATCTGTTTGAGAAATTTTTAAACTTCCGCTGCCGTACTTTCGAGGTACGTTACATCAATTTCCTAACAAATATATGTCCAAGTCCGTCTATTTGTGCTTGCGGGCTAGACGGGTCAACCGTTTTTTTACAGGTCTAGAATTAAGAGCATATATTAGTCAATTTGGAAGACTTACCTTCAACTTCAAGGAAAATAGATAATCAATGGAGTAAAGTTTAGAGTTTTTTACCTATATAGGACTATATCTACCTTTGTGTGCACAAATAGGACTCAAAACGTGAGTCATGTTTTGTAGGACTAAAATTGAGGTGATTTCCCTTTTTTAGCCTCAATTAGTTAGTCGCCTATTAATGCAAGGCAGTTTTTCGGGAAAAACGGGCCGCATGGTTATCAGAAAGAGTGCGAAAACATAGGGAAACGAGGTGCTGTATTTAATATGGAAGATTTTTCCGGCGCAAGGCACGGCAATCGAGTATCAAACACAACTACCCAAGTTAGTCTACCCAGTTACGCAATTGCAAAATTTCAATTTCGAAGAGGAGAACTGAAGACAAAAATCTGGAAGAGAAGAAAGAAGGAAGGAGAATAAGTGCGAAGATGGCCGGTAAAGATGGCGCAAATTAGACGCCCGGACGACAGAGAGAGCGGCGTAGAGCAGAACTGGTATGTTTAACATTTGAGCATCATAATTAATTTAGGGTTGATATTTAGGACGAATTCAAAGCCAAATGTTCTCATGGCGTGGGACTGACAAATGGAAGTTTTAATTTGTGGTAGACATTGCCAACAATTTGGAAATTCATAGAATGAAATATGACAGAATGCAATTTTGGTGTGACGGTATAAATGGAAAATATGTGTGAAACTTTTGTTATTTAAGGCGGAAAATGGCAGAAAGGAGAAATTGGATGAATGGATAAAGTGGCAAAGAAAAAATGGCAGAAACGGAATGGAAATCTTGTTTTGGCAAAAAAATGAAAACATATAGTAAGCTTAATGGCTAAAAGTGTATGTATATATTGTGAAAAATGTAGTTATGACAATGTTGATGTTTTAGTTGTTTCCAATTGTAATTCTACCACATATGACCACGATGATTGACAAACGTTTGGGTGTTTGGTGCTAGTTTTTTGTCAATTAGTACATATGTTCCACCTTAATGGCAAAATGATGAAATTAAAGGACTATTTGATAGTAGTGGTAAACAAGCAAAGGATTTTCTGTGGAATGTTTTGTATTTTTTTTTTCCAAACATTTGGAAAATAATAGAGAGGAAAATGGCAGAATGGATTGATGTTTGATTAAACATTGATAGTGTATTTAATTATTTCCAATGGTAATTGTACCACATATGACGCATTGATTGGCTGTATGCACATGATGTTTGTCATAGTACTTCCATAGTTAGTTGGAAAAATGTATTGTTGTGTGATAATTTAGGTGATACATAGAAAATTTGGAAGGAATCAACTGCAAAATGTAGAGAGCATGAGGATAAATTGCTACTGCAGTTTGGCGGAGGTGGTGAAGAGGATAAAGAACCAACTAAAAGAGGAGGAACTCATTGAATTCAGGAAGAGTGTATTCGGATGGGTGTTAGATGTGGAAGAAATGCGTACAATTAGTGGTCAGCTTCAACTGGGATTTCTTTGCAACTACGTTAAAAAAGTAAATGGCATGAAAGAGACAGGTGCCATTCGTTTTCATATTGAAAATAGTCTGATTACTTTAAGGAAAGACGATCTTTGCATGGCTCTAGGTCTTAAATTTGGAGGAGTGAAACCAAATATGGAAGATAATTTCAGGGGGACGTTGTGGAGAAAATACTTTGGTAACAAATCCGGGGTGAGAAGGTCTGATTGTCAAAATGCGTTAATGAATTACAATAGCGAGGACCCTGAAGCAGAACGAAATGATGGAGTGAAGCTTGCGTTGCTCCATGTACTGTCACATGGTCTTTTTGGCAACCAGGTAGCAAGAGAATTACCAGCATTGTATGTGAATTTGGTTGATAACTTGGATGGGTTCAATGACTACCCGTGGGGAGACGATGTCTGGACTGAGTTGGTAGATATTATGCGGATCAATTCAAAGAGTTTAAAGAAATGCGTAGGGCAACGAGTCACACTGCCAGGATGTTTGATTGCCATCCAAGTTTGGGCATTTGAAACCTTCACAGGGCTTGAAAAGGCAGAGATATGCAAGTTGATTGAAGGGAGAGAGTCTCGAATACCAAGGGCAGTCAAGTGGGAATTCATTAAAAAACCATCAATGGAGTTGTTGAGCAAAATAATATTCAAGAATGAACAGGTAGTACATCTGACAGAATTGCTAATTAATAGGTTGCAATCTGAATACCAAACCATTTGCTTTTAAATTTTAATATTTTGTATTTTTATTGTTTTGTGTGCAGTTTGAGTGGAAAATGATGGAGCCTACAAATCTGGAAGGTGAACATTTCCCTAACTTACTAGCCAATGAAAGGTTGAGTTCTGAGAGGAGTAGCAATGATGGAATTGATATTGTTAATAGAGTTGATGGGGTGAAGGTGTTTGAGAAAAAAGGAAAGAATGTAAAGACCAAAGTTTCAGCAAAAGTTGTAAAAAAATCAAAAACCAAAGCAAAGGAAGAAGATATGGAATCTGAGAAGGAGGAGGATGATGGTGGGAGGGTGGGTTTTGGAAGTGCAAGAAAGTTGGACTTGACGTTGAGGAAGGTTAGGAAACTTAGTAAGGAAAATGCCAAGATTATGGCAGAATTAAGAGAATTGAAGAAAAGTCAAAAGAGGCAGGAGAAAATGGTAAAGCAGTTACTGGAAGCGATGAATAGAATGACCAAGAATGAGCAGACAGAGACTGAGGAGCTTAGGGTGCCAAGCAAGGAAAAACAAAATACAGAAGAAGGTGATGAAAATGTAGAAGGAGAAAAAAGGAATGATGAAGACCAAACTGCATGTGCAGAAGATGATGATCCAGTGATCAGTAGCGTGCCCAGTTTTTCCATATTCGGTCCAGAGACACAAGAAAAATTTCAGGAAGTGCAAGTAGAAAATGGAAGTGACCGAATTGTGTTTGAGATGAGGAAAGAACCTGAAAAGCAAGGAACAGTGGAACAAGGACATAAGGATAGTGGTGGACTAGTCAGAAGTGAAGAGAAAAAAGGTAATGATTCTTCTCATAGAACAGAAGTTAGAGAAGCTGGGAACATGGAAGAAGAAGGGGGGACCAACAACAAAAAAATCAAGAACAGAATAGCGGTGTGCAAGAAACTGATACTAGAAGGGTGCATATTCAGGAAGAGGTTTGGGAAGATTTGAATACCCAATTTGTAAATGAGTTGATAACAAGCGTGGATATAGTTGAAAAACTTGTATTAGGTGACAAAGTTGCAGAGGAGCATACGCAAAAAGGAGAGGTAAGTAACACTTTGCTTTGAGTCTTATTTTAGTCATACTTGAAAACATGAAAAAAAACATTAAAATTTAATGATTAAATAATATGAATTGTGAATTACAGAAAACTGCAGACGAGCATTTACAACGAGTAGGAGAAGGGAACGGGAGTACAAGCATTGATTCCGAAGTGATCAAAGAAAAAAGTGTATGTGAAATGGAAATTAATTGTGATTCTAAATTCATAAAAGTGAAACTTACTTGTACAACGTGTTTGCTTTGGGTGTGCTGCAGGTGGAGATGACATGTGCACCAATTGGAAGACCTAAGCGAAATGCAAGATCACCTGACAGATTTACACCTGCAGGGAATATTGAGGTCGCAAAGAGGAGACGGAAGGAAAGAGCAAAAAGAAGTGAAGAGGACCAATTTTTACCGGCGAAAAAGTATGGGCCTTTTGCTGAAAACCCATCTCAATATCCACCGGAAGAAGAAGTAAGAAAGGTAGAAAAGTTTCTTGAAACTGGACTATTGAAGCGGCCGACAAAGGAGGGAGGTGGCAGAAAATACCGCAAAGAAGAGGACAACATGCATGGCGTACCTTTTATTTTGGACGTGGCAAAAATAGAATCAAAAACATGGTTATACAAGCTATTTGTCAATCCAGAATGGCTGGATGATACGGTAATGTTTTTGTACTATAATTATAGAAATATAACAGTTTGTTAGGATGTAATACTTGAATGTGAAATATAACAGTTAGTTTGGCAGGATTGATGAATTGTTTGTTTTTGGAAAATTTTCAGCATATTTTTGTAGGAATGCACTACTTGAATGTGAAGCAAGTGCAGTACAAGGTGAACTACCCCTACAGCACAAGTGGCCCATTTTTTATGCAAATGTTGAAACGGTTGAATGACAAGATAGAAAAAGGGCAGGCAACGATTCAAGACGCAACAAACATTGCGGTCATCGAAGATGACATTATGGGTAGTGCTTCACCATTTTCTAGGGGCTGAGCAGATTGTGATTTCGTGTACCTACCTGTTAACAATAACAACCACTGGGTTTTACTGGTTTTGGACGTTAAAAAAAAACGGGTTTACAATTCCAAAAGCAGAAGGGCGGATAGTGTAAGAGACATTAGACCCTATGTTTCGAGCTTACAACGCTTGCTCCCAAAAATAATGGATGTGCATGGGGTTTATGAAGAAATTGGGTTGGAGCGTATGGAAAACAAAGTGTTGGAGTTGGAGGCTGTGGAGGACTGCCCACAACCAGAAGACGGGTAACATCTTACCATTACATTATTTTACTGACAAATATTAAAATTTGGACATTAATATGTAAAACTATAATAATTAAGTACTAATAGTCTTGCATTAATGCAGGGGCAACCGTGGCATGTACGTATTGATGATGGCCGAGTTTTTGATTATGGGACTAGATATAAAAGATATCAAGTCAAAGGACATGCCCATGTATAGGAAAAAATGGCCACGGAGTTGGTGTTGTACTACAACAAGAGGATGCAGGAGGCCAAAAAAAAGGGAAGGACTTTGAAGATTGAATAGTGAAGGATGGGAGAGGGATGGATGAGAAGCAAAGTAGTTGCTATTCAAAATTTGCATCAAATTTGACATTGTGAACATTTTTCTTGTCTATTTTAAGTAGTTTGACCTCAAATGCAGACAGAGTATTTTGGTTTACTGATGAAGTGTAGTTTGAATTCATAATGTTGTGGTGGATTGAATTGTTGGTGGCTTGTGTTTTGGTCAGCAAACTATTTGTTATGCAGCGCTAAAAATGCCATATATTTGGCATTTTTTGGGATATATAATATTTTTGGACATGGCATAATATGGCAGTGTGTTAGATTGTAGATTTGGGAATGATTTATTGTTATGTTGACATCAAATGCGAAGGAAACTGGTGGGTGATACATGTTAAACGAGCTTATGACATTGAGGTTGAAAAAGAATTAAGAACGTAAACATGTATGTACGCATAAAGTGTGGGAATTATGCATGTAATGGCGTAGTTTTATCAATTGTAGACATTGAATGGTAGTTAATAAGATGACAAAATGAGGTAGTCCGCTAGTACACGTCTGAAAATTATGTGAAAGATTTTTGTTTCGGACTTGATAAGAATGACTTGAACATAAATGAGAAACTAACATTAATAGTTTTTAATTAATAAAATGCCATTTTTTTGTAATTAACGTGTGAATTTGTAGTACTTAGATATGGCAAAAGAACCTGAAAACTGTTTAATAAGCCTGTGTTTTGAAGTAAATAAGAATGTAGCGGATTGAATGAAAAAGTAAAATTCTAGCATTTTAGAAATAAATGCCAAATGTTTGGCATTTTGGGTTGTTTTAAGGTAATTGTGTATATGGCAAATACATTAAAATTGGAGCAAGTGCAATTATGATATGCAACAAAACAATTGCAAGACACATGGTATTACAGTGAAATTGAAAACAACACATAATAAAAAATAGTCAATTGAAATAGTGGCAAAAAATTGTGCATTAATGTAGTTAATGAACGTGGACATTTGTAAAGGATGAAAACATAATAATAGATTCTTAAATAAGTAAACTTAAAAAATACATCAATCATTTAATATGGGCAGTGGATTGCGGCAGGTTTTCTTGTTGTGTCCAAAAGCATGACAACGGGAGCATTTTTGACGCTTGGTTCTGTGATGTTCACCAATTGATGGAATTCTTGACTTTTTTGGACGGCCAGGTGGTCTTTTTAGACATGAAGGCGGCTTGCAGCGAACATTCAAAACATCACGAGGAACCGACCAAGAATCTACATCACATATAGGGTGCATGACAGCACTCCAGGTGGACAACCAATAATCACGCGTATAATATGGGGATATATAATCATAGCATGACATGGCTGGGCGGGTAGCAATAGCAGAAACAACATGGACACAAACGAAATGAGATAATTGAAACTCCCCGCAACTGCATGTCTTAGAATTAAGATCAACTACAAAGGACCGACAATGCCTATCCACCACTTCAAACTCTGTATAAGATGCTGGCTTGACCTGTAGTGTTTTATAATATTAAAAATTAGTAAAAGTGAACAGATGGAAATTTACACCAATAAGGTGTTAGAAATAATCTGGAAAACATGGAAGAATAATGAAACTTGTACAGTGAATGCCATTTATTTTGGAAAATTTGCCAAATCCAAAAAACTGATGTGAAAGAAAATGCTTCTTTGAAGAACATAAACGAATTAACTACAAAATGCATGAATAGCAAGTTACCTGCATCCTGCAAGCTTGTCCTTGAAGGGTCACCAAATACTTCTCACGTGTGGGTGCCAGAATTGTGCGTGTTTTTTCAGCGCTTTCCTTCCTTTCGGTGAACCATTGCTGCATTCTTTCCCTCAAGAAATCAATCAGTTTTGATATAGAATACTCCCTTGCAAAGACATTAACGTTGTTCATAGATTCAGCACAGTTGGAAGTCATGACATCATACCTCCTCGGACCTGACATGCACTTAGCCCACTTTTCTAAGCCAATCTTTTCAAGCTAAGGTCGTATACGAACATCTTCAGAATCCAACAAGAACATATATTCCTCAAACTCCTTAGGTGTGGAAGCCATATATGCAGCCTTGAACTTCCAACCTAAATTCTTACCAGCACCCCTGAACTTTGGAACCATGTTTCGCCTAAGGTGCTCAACACAATATCCATGAAGAGCATGAGGGAAAATATCTTTAACAGCACTACAAATACCTTCATGTCTATCTGATATGATAAACATATCAGATCGGAAGGTTATAGATTCACGAACTTGGCTCAAAAACCAATTCCATGAAGCTTTAGATTCGGAATCACAAATTCCAAACGCTAAAGGTACAATATGACCGTTAGCGTCTTGTAGTAGTGTCCCCTTATAGTACGCCTTCATAAATGACCCATCAACGATTAAAACTGGTTTGCAAAAATCCCATGCTTTCCGCCAAGGTGAAAGAGACATAAAAAAGTAACGAAACTCATCCTCGTCACCAATTATTAGAGAAATTGCAGAATTTGGATTTGTCTTTTCTAGAATATAAGCCATGGAAGGTAGTTTCTGATACGACTCTAGATCAGATCCAAATTGCCTTTGCATGGCTACCTTTTGAGCTTTCCATGATTTCTTATATGACATGGAAATGCCATGAGCCACACTCATTTCTTCCCGGATTTGTTTTGGTGCATACGGTTTCCTTGAAGCATCCAAAAATTTATGGGAGATTAGCTCAGCAATGGTGCGATATGTTGCTTGTCTATGCTTTCCTTGCCTAAAGTCCATGGAGCATGTATGTGTAGAGTCAAACCTGCAAACCATATGTGCAGCATTGGCAGAAATGTCAAAAATGTGGCAGATTATAAGACATTCAGAATGGTAAAATACAGATAAAATCGGAACATACCTTCTAATCTGAAACATTTGCACACCACGTAACTTCACACCCCTGACAGCCCATTTGCATTTCTCATCACAACAAACAACATGCAAAACAGTTTTCTTGGATGTACGTGTTTGATATTGAAATCCATTATCAATCGCATACAACCTCAAATGGTGATTGAGGTCATATTTAGAGTTGTATATGGCATGTTTCATGATCTGAGTGGGATGATAATGGGTGATAACTTCCACATTATGATGGAAGGAAGATGACTCAGTAGGAGGTGACTGACAAGGACTCACATCAGACCATGGACTATGACATAGGTCATCATTGATTCTGATGGGACTTTGTGACCGCGGTGAGACATTGGATTCATGACGAACAAGGGTGTAAGAGTTAGATTCAGAATTCAGCCCACTAATATTGTCATGTTCTGTAAAAGAAACTTGGGATGATGAGGGGGGAATCTCAGGTATGGTATTTTCCATTGTTGGCATTGTGCAAGGCTTAGAAATATCAGTTGAAAACTCCAAACATAAGGGGTACTTGCTCAAATCAGTATGAAGAACCTTAAGGTTAAGGAAAAACCGAAAAGTGTCTTCATCATTGATATGTACAGGTGGAGGGCAACCATCAACCATATAAGATAACTTGAAGTGATTTGTTGCATTGTAGTAATCACTTAACATGGAAGAAAGTTGTTCTATAAAGTCTTTGTATGTAGATGAATAAAGAACTTGAATAGCGAAGATCAGGTTACTGTTGAAGTTATATTCATTGGTCCAACTTCCACCCAACTTCAACATAACCGGTACAATACAATCCATATGGGTAACTAGAGAAAGGAATATAAATTGGTCAAATAAAATGAACAAGAGTATGAGAACTCTGAATAAATATTATGCCAAGATTTTGTCATTTATTCCATCCGAATACACCAAACAGAGCATCATAGCCACAATTAAGTTCTATGATGTTAATAAGTAAAACCATGAACAATAAGATCATAGCTGCATACCTAGGACCATACTATACAGATTTCAACACAAACATGGTACATGATTGTCGGTTTCGAATTATATAACAATGATGATTAACAATAAACACATTAAAAACAAGAATAATGTCGTGAACTAGTTCTAAAACATGAAGAAACTGATAATCGCAGGAGTTGCTTATTACCAGAACAATTGCAGAATGTGTTTGACCTCACGAAATGTTCTTCATCGTCAATTATGACAAACAGGGAAAAAGATGAGATATGGAATGATCGTTGAAACGCACGTATGTATCAAGATAATAATCAGCAGCGTAAAACCAGGGGAGGGTAAAGTGATTGAACGTATGTTAACGGTAAAGAAGGAAACGGTTATGCGGTAAAGGGCTAAACTGATGACCGTACATATGTTAGCGGTAAAGGGGGAAACGGTTATGCGTACATAAGCAGGGGCAAATCTGTACCAGTGTCAACCGTATGATTCAATATAGGATTAATATGATCCTATTAAGGGAAGGAAACCTAGGAGATCCTATTTAGGAATTTTAAGAAGTATTTAGTCCTATATGAGGCAATTTCTTTAAAGTTTATTAGCCAAAAGGAGTAACTAGTTTTGAGTAAAGAGAATTATTAAATAATTGGTATAATACGTACGGAGTAATGGAGTATAACGGAGTATTATTAATAATAAATAATAAATGAAAAGAAAGAAGGTGTAGGTGATCATTACTGAAGTGCCAATTGCTTTGAAAATAAAGTTGTTAGAAATACCAATGTGGCAAATCAAACCATATGGACCACTAAGAAGTTGTTCTCTTCGTCTTAATGTTATTACTTATTCCTTATTCTTATTTTATTCAGATCAGATCAAATCAGATCAGATCAGATCAGAAAAATTCAGATCAAATCAGATCAGAAAGATTCGGATCAGATCAGAAAGATTCAGATCAGATCAAAAACATTCAGATCAGAAACATTCAGATCAGATCAGAAGCATTCAGATCAGATCAGAAGCATTCAGATCAGATCAGATTAGATCAGAAATATTCATACCAAATTGGAAGCATTTTATTATTATCTATTATATATATTACTATTACTATTACTATTATTATCTTTTTATAATAATAATAATAATTATTATTATTATAAATATAATTACTATTATTATTACTATTATATAATATTATATATTACTGTTATGTTTTACGAAGTAATTTTTAGTATTGATTTTTTAATAAATGCTAAAATTGAGCACTCTGTACCAATCCATCTGATCTAAATACTTCAAAAGTAGTATTTGCGTACACTTCAACTATCGTCACACATCAAATTGAGCACTTTGTAGTATATAATATTGTCACCATTTGAGAAGAATGAATTGAAGTACACTTCAACTATCGTCACACATCTTTGCGTACAACAATTGAAAGATGTTTCACTGTACTGAAGTCCCGATGGTGGATACTACATAGGATGCCGTTAATGGAAATTCAATATCAACTTGTGATTATTAAAAAGGTTATTAATATCACTACTACTACTACTACTACTTATTATTATTATTATTATTATTTGATGGAGTAATAGGACTAGGCCCAGAGCCTAATCAGCCCAAGCCCCGAACTTGGACCCGTGGATCCAAATCCACAACCTAGAGCCTGCCTGCCAACCCAGCGGGAAGCCTGCCAGTTCGACCGACCTCCCAGCCCGGAAGAGTAACGGTCAAGCAATTAATGCACTATTAATTATGTATTTAATTCTTTATTAATGTTGTAATTAGTTAATCATTATTATCGGTAGCAGTTACGATTTGTATATGCCTATAAAAGACGGCTTGTAATTCATATTAGAGAGAAAACTTCTATATGCTTTTTCTGGCTAACTTTCCATATTCGTACTTTCCTAATTCCTGCTTGAGTGTTGTACGTAGCTTTCCTAAAAGCCTACGAGCGTCCTATTTTGGACCAACATTGGTGCTTTCATTGAGAGCCTCTATTGTTTCTCTCATCACTCTAGTAGGAATTTTCAGAAAAATGTGTGAAAATCGAAGGTTTCTAGCAGTTTTTTTCCAGGTTTGTAATCCAAAATCTGGAAATAGAATGAAAAAATATAGTCGGGTAGTGCAATGGCTATCTGGATCTAAGCCAGTGATCGGCGTCCACACAGGAGGTCCCGAAAGTTATCTGCCAAAAGAAACAAAATCAACAAAACTGGGATTTCAGAAACCGTCGATGATGTCAGCTATGTCTCAGTCACCGGAGATGGAATTTTAGAACTGGGGTTTTCCGGTGCTAAGTCGGAGATGTCCTCATCGTCCCGGTTTCCGCCACTCGCCAGCTCCCCACCCATTCTCGGGTCTGAGCCGAAACTGCCTCGCACCGTCCGCTGCAGGTCGCTCCGCCATCTTTGTCATACCGCTGTTGGCGTCGCACCTGGTCTCCTTTGCGACTCGATGGTAAGAACTTGAATCATGACGAGGATTGACCTTAAGCATCCGCCATTAATGGATCCTAAGAGCTCCAGGAGTGACATATCGTGGACAAGTGCACCCCTGTGGAGATGGAACTCCCATGTCTGTCTGTCGCCGCCTGAGGAACCTTCGCCGGTGTTGCCCGAGTCCTAGCGAACTCGCCCCTCGTTGATTTCGCCCAGCCGCTGGTGGCCTGGTGCTGCCTGATGAAGATTTGTTGTCTCCGGCCTCAGTCGATGCAGTGTTGTGCCCTTAATGATTGAGGCTCCAAAGGGTAAGCTATAGTAGTTGTATGCTACTGCCCACTCGCCAAACGTGAGAGCCGCCAAAGGCTAGGTCAAAATTGTTAGTGGAGCTACCCAACTGCTATTTCTTTATCAGCCAACGCAGGCACACAACCCATTCAGTGTTGAGCCCAATTCAAAAAAGCTAAGTATCCAAAAATCCACTATATTTTGATACAAAAAAAATATTACAAAAAAAAAACATAAATTGAATCATTTGAAAAGATATTTTAAGTGGTGTAATTGCTTTAACTCTTGTTGAGTGTGTGTAATTTTAACATTGAAAAATGGACTTATGAAATCCGATCACTCACGTACACCGGACGAGCACACACACTCGTACAATGGCCGAGCACACACACTCGCGCCACCGGGTCATGTCATATGGGTGTGGCGATTAATAAGCTCCAATATAAATGTTAATACCTCACACTCTTGACTTCTTACGGGTTCTTGTGTGCTCTTACCTCTTCCTAGTGCATCACACTCCGACCTCGGGGGACGAGTCATCCGTTCAAAAGTCTTTACTTGCGGGTTCGAACTACTAACCTCGGGCGGCGAGTTAAACTCTTGTTAGGGGCCTAGAGCCACGCTTTTCCGAGCAATTTTGTCACTTAATTGACGTTCACATTTCTCGAAGAGGTTGATATACTTTAGTTCTCTGGGGTTGGATTATCCGTTCGAGTGAGGAGTCCGCCTCACTTACTCGCGGATTCAATCTCTCTTTCGGAGACTGGGTTGAGGCCTAACTTGGGAACTTGATGTCACTCTTTTCAAGTAGTGAGTCCGACTCGCTTACATACTGAGCCGTGGTTTGACACCAGGCCAGGTGCTCTATTATACACTAGTTTCTTTTATGTGTAGGTACAACTGAATGAAGTGGGGGACTGAGGGTCTTACCGTCTTCAAGGAAGCAAATGACAAATCTGACGAGTCTGAGCTCAACGAGAAGAACAGTTCTAGCCATCCTATTCGCAGATGGCGACCATTACAATAAAGGCTGAGGATCTCACCTCTTGCTTCATCTTGGGGGCGTCAGATGTACTCTTTTTCCCTTCATTAGGATTTTTTTCCCATTGGGTTTTTTCCTAATGAAGGTTTTTAATGAGGCATCTCCCCAACATGGACAAGGGCGGGGATCTTCTAGTCTCGGAGAAGAGCAACTGACTTGGACTACTCCCTCTTAGCCGAGTCTACTACTCGACTAAGGGAGTGGGGGACTCGTGATGGAGTAATAGGACTAGGCTCAGAGCCTAATCAGCCCAAGCCCCGAACTTGGACCCGTGGATCCAAGTCCACAACCTAGAGCCTGCCTGCCAACCCAGCGGGAAGCCTGCCAGTCCGACCGACCTCCCAGCCCGGAAGAGTAACGGTCAAGCAATTAATGCACTATTAATTATGTATTTAATTCTTTATTAATGTTGTAATTAGTTAGTCATTATTATCGGTAGCAGTTACGATTTGTATACGCCTATAAAAGACGGCTTGTAATTCATATTAGAGAGAAAACTTCTATATGCTTTTTCTGGCTAACTTTCCATATTCGTACTTTCCTAATTCCTGCTTGAGTGTCGTACGTAGCTTTCCTAAAAGCCTACGAGCGTCCTATTTTGGACCAACATTATTATTACTACTACTACTACTATTATTGTTATTATTATTATTATTGTTGTTGTTGTTGTTATTGTTACGGAGTATTATTTTTACTATACTTATTAAATAATAATAATAATAATAATAATAGTTATTATTACTATTATAATTATTATTGATATTATTATTATTATTATTGTTATTGTTATTGTTATTATTCTTATTATTATATACCAATTTAGAAAGTTAAGATCAGATCAGAAGGATTCAGATCAGATCGGAAACATTCAGATCAGATCAGAAACATTCAGATCAGATTAGAAACATTCAGATTAGACCAGACAGATTCAGATCAGATCAGAAACATTCAAATCAGATCAGACAGATTCAATTCAGATCAGATCAAAAAGATTCAGATCAGATCAGATCAGAAAGATTCAGATTAGATCAGATCAGATCAGATCAGATCAGAATTTAAAAATTCATATCAGAAACATTCAGATCAGGTGAAGAGAACAGCTTCTAAGTAAGCATTGAAATGCTTTAGTAGCGCTCTACATTAGTTTTACTAACATGCATGACTTGTGCTAGTTATTCGATCGGTTGACACACACACACACACACACATATATATTACTCTTTAATAATTTATTTTATGTTAGTTTTTAAATTTGGGACTTTCTTTCAAAAAAAATTGGGCTTTAACGCTTTCATTCAAGGGAAGTGATAAATAGATTATGTTATCAGAGGGAAGCTATACTATACAACCGGCTGTACGATGCCACTCATACAGCCGGTGGCATTTTGTAATTTTGGTGAAAAACACGGCCTCTCTTGAATGAGCATTAACGCAATATATTAAGCATCAAGTCTGTTCTTTTGAGTATTAGGAGCCTAAGAATGAGCATCAGTGTTCTCTGCTTCATATCTTCTAATTCGTTTTCTTTTTATTATTTTTCGTTTATAAAAACTCTTCAAGTATGTTTGTAATCAATTCCAATTAATTTGAATATGTAAATCTAATGTAGTATGATACGTTTGAAATGTGCAACATTTTAAAATGGGCATAAAGAGGTACCAAATAAGCATAAATAACTTACAAAATGAGTATCAAAAAATTCAAAAACTCATTTGTGTATGCTCATTCAGTTTGAGTTTAACATAATGTAGTATGATACGTTTGAAATGTGCAACATTTTAAAATGAGCATAAAGAGGTACCCAATGAGCATACATAACTTACAAAATGAGTATCAAAACGTTCAAAAACTAATTTGTGTATGCTCATTCATTTTGGGTTTTATAATCATTTGAGTTTAACATAAAACTCATTTCTAATATGCTTGATGGAGTATATGGCCCGGGAACCCCCGGCCCACAGACTCCTACTACTCCAGCGAAGGCCCAACAGGCACAAATCACAGCACCCAGAGTACCAAGCAGCCCGCACTACGCGCCAGGGGTGCCTTCGGCCCCCTGGCCGAAGGCTCCAAATTCTCACAGAACGGGTTTCTCAAGCAAGCTAAGAAACTGGGAGAAAACGGCGAAAACAGCAGCCCTCGGCACTGTGAGCCCTCGGCACCAGGGGTGCCATCGGGAGGAAGAGCCCTCGGCTACTGCTCTATAGCCGAAGGCATCTCACTCGACAAGATATCCGCCTCACATGCGTACAGATCACCGTACTCTGCACAGACGTCCCATCCAACAGCCGCATTAAATGCGGCCACATGCGGCTGCCAGCGCTAACCAGTTGAGGTGACCCATCGGCCAATGAGCGCTTGACACGTGTCCCTGGCCGGCATTTATTGCTGCTGTAAATAGCACCCCATTTCCTCATTTGTAACCACGCTGAAAAGTCATAACACGCTGAATACACTCTCTCTCTACATTTAGTTACTTGCTCTGACTTCTCTCTAGATTATTCCCGGTAATAACCCTTCGGATATATACCCCCGGGTAGACTATCCATCATTTGGTGCTTTCATTGAGAGGTTGAACAATCGAGTAAGAAACCCTCCCCCTCGACCAAACACAAACACTAGCCCTCTATCAAAATGGTGAGAACAACACGTGTCAACTCAAAGAACGTAGAAGACAAGAACCTGGCCCTCGGCGACGTCAACGCCCCCGAAGCCTCTCACAGGGCTCCCGAGGGCAGTGTCCTTGCTGGGCTGGAACAGGCGGCTGTCGACCTACGCCTTCAGATCCAACAAAACGCCCCCGATGCCCGCCTCGGCATCGAGGCCAAGAAGAAAAACCGGAGCGATGACCAAGTCAGCCCTCCGGTTCTCACCATCGGCGTACAATCGGCGCTCTCCGCCTTCATCCAAACGCTCACCCAGAACCCGGGTGCCTTCGGCACCCTGGCTCCAGCTCACCCTCAGATCGGGGAAAATATCATACTTCCCCCTCTGCCACACCCCTTCGGAAATCCCACCCCTCGGGTGAGAAACGACGAAGGGGTGGTGGCCCAAGAAACATCCTCCCAGGAAGTTCAGTCCCGGGACCGCCATAATGACAACAGGGAGAGGCCCCGTACTTCCGCCCTCAACCGGCTCGGAGGAGGGCCAGACCGCCGAGGGGTCCAAGACCGCCTCGGGGGGAAGGCACTCCAAAGGCCCCAGGAAAGCGGGGGCTCTGTTTCGAGGGCAGACGAGGAGCGTCCCCCTCGGGACAAAGGCAAGGCACTCCTTCATGCCGATGATGCTCGACACCAAATCAACCAGGCCCACTCGGCCCGGGTTCGTTCGCAGGGGGCGGAAACCCTCCCGAGGGACCCCCGGGACGAGATTATTGCGGCCCTCCAGCGCCGGCTTGACGAAATGGAGTCCAACAAAGCTCACGCCACCACCTCCACCCCTCACTCAGATCTCAAATACGAGGCCATGATGGCCAAGATGGAGGAGTTACAGAAGAAGGTGGCCGAGGGCTCCGGGGAACCCGTCATCCAGCTTCGGACTCGGACGCCATTTACCCCAAGGGTATTGGCGGCCCGGATCCCGGAGAAATACCGAGGGCAACACATACAGCCCTACAACGGGAAAACGGACCCCCAGGAACATTACAGCAAGTACCAGAACAGCATGCTGATGGTGGGGGCGTCAGACGAATATTTGTGTCGTTGGTTCCTCTCCACCTTAGAGGGACCAGCATACGAATGGTTCAACAGGCTGCCCGAGGGCTGTATTGATTCATGGCAAGAACTCGCCCAGCGGTTCTTGACACAATTTGCCGGGAGGCGTCGCACAAGGAAGCACTTCTCCCACCTCCTAACAATACGCCAGAAGAAGGATGAGACCCTTCGGGATTTCCTGGAGCGTTGGAGGACGGAGGCCGACAAGGTCGACGGTGCTGATGACGGGACCCTCCTGGCCCTCCTACAAACCATCCTCCGCACCGGCAACTTTTCAAGGAGCCTCATCATTGAACCCCCCGCGACTACATAAGGGCCTTGCAGCGGGGGGACCGATATGCTGAGGCCGAGGAGGTGGAGAAGTATCACCAGCATCCGGACCAGCAGCCCCCGAGGGCTGACAACAAGCACAACCGAGGGCCGGGGGCTCCTCCAAATCGCCCCAAGGCTTCGGGACCCTCTGATGACCGCCCTCGGCAAGGCCAAGCCAAGCCCGGGGGAGGGTATAGGAGCAACCCTAAGACTTGGGCCCAGCCCATTCTCCTGGACCGCCCTCGGACCCCATTGACGCACCCCGTCAGCATCATCCTCGATTTTGCAGAGGAGAGGGGCCTCGTTGAGCGTGATTCTCGCGCACCCCCAGAGGTACACGCTATCAACCCTCAGTTCCCCTACTGTCGCTTCCATCGACACCAGGGGCACAGGACCGATGACTGCCATCAACTGAAGACGGCCATCGAGAGATTAATACAGGCAGGGCACCTGTCCCAGTTTGTCCAGAGCCCTCGGCAGGAGGGACCTTCTCATCAGGGACCCCCCCGAGGGCACCATACGAAGGTAAATGCCTGGGTGAATTCGAACACCATCCCCCTCGGCAAGAAGAGGGAGATCGGAAACTTGGAAGAAGAGGAGGAGGAGTACCCCCACTACCAGGAGAAGAAACGCCACATCCTCATGATCACCGGTGGCAATACGGGGGGTGATTCCACCAGCCAA